TGAAAGTTCATATGAAATCTAGGGGGGAAAAAGATCTAATATACCTTATATCTATTAATTTATTTATTTTTACCTAATTTCACATGCAATTTTAAAAGAAAAAAGGTACAGTTCATGAACACAGGTTTAGAAATCTTATCAACTGTAGTGTGGATCTCAGGGAAATCCATCCATCTGTGGGTCCTAGATAAGCTTCCAAACCACTTTAAGCTGTAGTTTTCTCATTTATTTTGTTTTGCAGTTTCCTCATTTTTAAAATGAGGACAGTTAACACTAATTTCAAAATAACACTTTGAGAACTAAATGAAATAAAGGAGGTAAAAGGTTTACATTGTATCTGACTGGTATAAGCCCCCAATTATTAGTATTTTTATAACTTACATTATTCTTCAAATTATAGATTTCCAAAACTTACATACAAAAAGATATTATAAACAGATCCACATATACTATCCAGTAAAAATGGTGTTATCCCAGATTTCAAGCTATTATACAAAGCTAGAGTAATCAAACAGTATGGTATTTGCATAAAACAGACGCATAGATCAATGGAACAGACTACACAGCCCAGAAATGAACTTGCTCAATCAATTTATGACAAAGGAGCCAAGGGTATACAATGGGAAAATAGTAGCTTCTTCAATAAACAGTGTCAAGAAAAATGGACAGTCACATATAAAAAAATGAAAATGGACCACTATCTTACACTATACACAAAAAATAAACTCAAATGGATTAAACATTTGAATGGAAAACCTAAAACCATAAAACTCCTAGAAGAAAAACATGGGTGGTCAGCTTCTCGAGACTTGCTTAGTGATTATTTTTTGGATTTGACACCAAATGCAAAGGCAACAAAAGCAATAATAGCCCAATGGGACTGTATCAAACTGAAAAGCTTTTGCACAGCAAAATTTTTTAAAAAATCAACAGAATGAAAGGTAATTTACTAAATAGGAGAAAATATTTGCAAATCATGTATCTGGCAAATGGTTACTATCAAAAATACATTTTAAAAATCTCATTAAACTCAAATAAAATAACCCAACAAACTGATTTAAAAATGGGCAAAAGATGTGAATAGACAGTTTCTAAAGAAGACATATAGATTGCCAACAGATGCATGCAAAGATACTCAACATCACTAACCATCAGGGAAATATAAATCAAAACTTCAGTGAGATATTATACCTGTAAGAATAGGTATTATCAAGAAGATAAGAGATAACAAATGCTGGCAAGGCTGTGGAGAAAAGGGAAACCTTGTACACTGTTGTCAGGAACATAATTTGGTACACTCACTTTGGAAAACAGTATAAAAGTTCCTCAAAAATTAAAAAAAAAAAAATTCCTCAAAAATTAAGCATAGAACTATCACACAACCCAGCAATCTCACTTCTGGGTATTTATGCAAAGAAAATAAAAACACTATATATATATATTTTATATATATACACCTCCATGTTCATTGCAACAGTATTTACAATAGCATAGATATGAAAACAACCTAAATGTCCATCAAGGGATGAACAAGCAAAGAAAATGTGCATGTTCTCTCTCTGATATTATATATATGCAAATACTAAAATATTCTATAAATTATATATATTATTTGGCCATAAAAGAGAACGAAATCTTGCAATTTGTGACAACATGAATGGACTCAAAGGCATTACACTACATAAGTAAGTCAGAAAAAGAAAACTACAAAGTGATCTCACTTATATGGAGAATCTAAAAGCACACAAACAAAAGGTGGTTGCTAGAGGCTGGCTGGTTAGGAGTAGGTGAAATGGGTGAAAGGAGTCAAAGGGTACAAACTACCAATTATAAAATAGATAAGTCACAGGACGTAATGTTCAGCATAGAGACTATACTTAATAATACTGTATTACATACTAGAATGCTGCTAAAAATAAAAGGTAGATCGTAAAGGTTCTCATCACAGAAGAATGGCTCAAGATGGCTGTGCAGAAGGACATGCATTCGTTTCCTCCTGCAAGAGCACCAAAATTGTAGCTAGCTGTTCAGTAATCACCAACATGAGCATGCTGGAACCCACCAAAAAAAAAGATAGCCTATCTCCCAAGACAAAGAAGAAGCCACAGTGAGAGAGAAGGAGGGGTGCAATCACAATAAAACCAAATCCTATACCCGCTGGGTGGGTGACCCATAGACTTGAGAACAGTAATACCAAAGAAGTTCTCGCATTGGTGTCAAGGTTCTGAACCCCACATTAGGTGTCCCAGCCTGGGGATCCGACAAAGGGACTGGGAATCCCCATGAAATCTGCTGTGAGGGCCAGTGGGTTTTGATTATAGGACTTCAGGAGGACTGGGAGAAACAGAGATTCCAGTCTTGGAGGGCACAAACAAAATTTTACATGCACAGAGACCCAGAGGAAAGGAACAGTGACCCACAGGAGACTGAACCAAAACTACCTGCTAGTGTTGGAGGGCCTCCTATGGAGGTGTAGTTGGCAGTGGCTCATCACAGGACGGGGGCACTGGAAGGTGCCCCTTGGTGTAAACCCTCTTGGAGTTCACCATTAACCCAACCACAGAGCCCACAGACCCAAGGGCTGGGTCAGGCCAAACCACCACCAGGGAGGGATGCAACCACACCCATCAATAGATAACTGGATTAAAGCTTTACTGAGCAAGGCCCTGCCCACCAGAACAAGACCCAGTTTTTCCCATCACCAGTCCCTCCCATCAAGAAGCTTATACAAGCCTCTTAGCCTTATCCATCAGAGGGCAGACAGAAGCAAGAAGAAGCACTGTCTCACTAAAACAAAAACCATATTACAGACAGTTAATCATGATGAAAAAGCAGAAAGTTATGTCCCAGATGAAGGGACAAGATAAACCCCTCTCCCCAAAAATTAAATGAAGTAGAGAGAGGCAACTTCCACAAAAAGAACTCAGAATAATAATAGTGAAGATGATCCAGGATCTCAGGAAAAGAATGGAGGCAAAGATTGAGAAGATGCAAGAAATGTTTACCAAAGACCTAGAAGAACTAAAGAACAAACAGAGATGAATAATACACTAGAAGGAATCCATAGCACAGTAACTGAAGCAGAAGAACAGATAAATGACCTGGAGGACAGAATGGTAGAAATCACTGCCATAGAACAGAACATAGAAAAAAGAATGGAAAAAATGAAGACACCTTAACAGACATCTGGAACAACATTAAATGCACCAACATTCGCATTAGAGGGGTCCCAGGAGGAGAAGAGAGAGAGAAAGGACATGAGAAAATATCTGAAGAGATAACAGCTGAAAATTTGCCTTAATATGGGAAAGGAACTACTCAATCAAGTCCAGGAAGCACAGTGAGTCCCAGGCAGGATAAACCCAAGGAGTAACACACTGAGACATACAGTAATCAAACTGACAAAAATTAAAGACAAAGATAAAATATTAAAAGCAACAACAGAAAAACAACAAATAACAGACAAGGAAACTCCCATCAGGCTATCAGCTGATTTCTCAACAGAAACTCTGCAAGCCAGAGGGAAGGGCATGGTATGTTTAAAGTGATGAAAGGGAAGAACCTACAACCAAGAATACTCTACCCAGCAAGACTCTTCTTCAGATTTGACGGAGAAATCAATAGCTTTCCAGACAAGCAAAAGTGAAAAGAATTCAGCACTATCAAATCAGCTTTAAAACAGATGCTAAAGCAACTTCTCTAGGCAGGAAACACAAGAGAAGGAAAAGACCTACAGAAAATAAACCCCAAACAATTAAGAAAACAGTAACAGGATCATATATATCAATCATTACCTTCAATGTAAGGATTAAATGCACCAACCAAAAGACACAGACTGGCGGGGTGGATGAAAACATGTGCATGTACGTACTTCCACCCGCTTACCACATCAGTCTGCTTAACAAACACCCAAACACCTAAGTTGTATGTAATTATTTTATACTGTTAAGTTAATCATATTCCCATTATGGCTTGCAATTGTAATTATCTTTTATTTTTTGTCTGGCCATTGATTGTGAAAACTGATAAACATATTTTACCATTGTGATTATCTAACTATTACTCATTTAGTACCATTGTATCATGATTGGTCAACAGAAAAATAACAGAACTCTGTATCACCAAAACTAGGATCTAACAGAAAAACCTGTAATCACTTTATAAAATCCAGATGCATTTCAGAATTATCTTGAAACTTTTTGGAGGAAAAAAAAAAATGCTCAGGTATTGGTTTTTTTCTCCAGAGCTCCAGATATGTTTCTAATGAGTAGTCATGTTTAAAAACAACTGGACTATCTGATGATCTTTTACTTTTATCTAGTTTGTTTCACTTTTTCTATTTCGTATTCAGTGCTCCCATTTCATTTAGTTTATGTTTTCCAATCTCTCCATCTCTTCTTTTTTTTCTTTTGATGTTCTTTCTCATGCTATCAAGTGTAGTAGAAAAGCTTTTGTATACATATATATAAATATGTATAATATATGTATTTTGGAAAACCACGAATTTTTGCCTAACTAAAAATTTTACGACATTTTGATTTCACTTGTTTAACTTCATTGAATAGAATGCTAGATTTCTAATTAAAAAACAGATATGCAACAAGCAACAAAGGTTTACTGTATAGCATAGGGAACTATAGTCAATATCCTGTGATAACCTATGATGGACAATAATTTCAAATATAATATGTATATTTGTAAAACTGAATCATCTTGCTGTGCACTTGAAACATTGTAAATCAACTATACTTCAATAAAATAAATATTTTTTTAAAAAAGGTTCTCATCACAAGGAAGAAAGATTCTGTAATTATGTACAATAAGATATTAAGTAGACTCATTGTGATGATCATTTCACAATACATATAAATACTGAATCATGCTGTATACCTAAAACCAATATAACATTGTATGTCAATTATACCTCAATTTAAAAAAACTTAAAGCATTTACCCAGTAAAAAAACATTTTTAAGTTGTTTGAGAATGTAAGTCACTTACCTAAAGCTATAATCATCTTTGTCTTCATATGATTTAATTTGTGCTGAAACAGACTTAGATCGTACTTCTTGCTGATCTCTCTAAATAAAACAAAAGTAAGTCATAAAGAAAAAAAAAACTCACAAAACTAGGATATATTCAAGTGCCTTTCTGATCATTAATCATTTCAGAATTGTCCATGATTTCTATAAAATCAAAGCACAGAATTCTCAAAGCACAGAATTCTCAAAATAAGGTCTGTAACAATGTAGTTTCACCTTTCATTCATTCTTGGTTAGGAAAGTCCCTCTAAGGGAAAATTGTAAGAATGTTAATACCTCTAAATGATCTTAGCTGACTTCTTCCCAACTATATTAGGGCTTCCATCTTGTGTAACATGCAAAAGAAGTAAGGTTCACAAGAAATGAAAACATAAATTCATTTAATGAATAGAAAAATTTGTCTCAAATTAGACAAACTTCAATGTTATGATGACCAGACAGAAATTAAAGTGCTAAAAATGAAGCAATAAGAATGAAAGCTTTTGAAGATTATGTATCAGTATGAAAGTAAGAAAACAAAAATTCAATATGGCAATTAGAGGACTAATGGATTTGATCAGAATACATAATGAATCCCTCATTCTACTATAATGTGGGGTCTCTTTGTTCAAATTATTTTCCGGCTCTTCAGAACAGACACAAACAAAAGATGTGATAAAGTATTTATTTTTAAATAAAATATTTAATTACAAATGCAACTAACAAATCTGTAACCATTATCTACATCTATTACCTGAAATGTTATGTTCCTATACTAACAAATAATGATGGTTCTGTCTAAGGCATTAAAATATTACCTATTCTTCAGTGACCCCGTCAACTCTAAAGTGAGATGGGGATGGGGTTTAAATGAAAGAGAATTATAACTGAATTAAAACAAAAAATGAAACAAGTCTGAAAGCAGCTCTAAGGAATACTACTTACCCTACCACTAATAATGGGAAAGCTGATGCTTAAGGAGGGACATTTAAAGAAGGAATAGCCAATTCGGTAGTCAGAATGGGGCAAATATCCTTATACCGTCTAGTAATATAGCCTCACCACATTTTCCTGACTATAAATCTGATTATGGACTAGCCCTAAGAATTTGAGTTACATCTAACTGTAGAGTTTAAGAAACAGATTACCATCTGAGCATTAGTGATAATCATTATCCTTTATTCAACTTCTGTCCAAAAACCATATCCTTACTGAATTACTAGTACTAATTCAATATAGCTACTCACAAACATTAATCTTAAAATAGTAGGAAATATTATTAAATATTAATGTAGCTATTAACTAGCTGATTGGAATATCAAAATGGAAAACACTTTTTCAGTAGCTTTCAGAAAGTGTGTGCTTCTCAAAAACATATATATGCATATATACACATACCTATGCACATATTGATTTTCAATTTATAATAACTCACTGAACTGAAAATTTATGCTTTGGGCATTTTTTGTATGTATGCTATACCTCAAATTAAAAAGCAAAAAAACAAGCACTGACATGGAAATACTAATAATTGTACATTTACTTACTATTACTTCCTCAGCTTGTCGAACCAGATCAGCTGTTTTTGCCTCTAATTCTGCATTTAAACGTCTAAAAGCAGAAAATAATTTAATAGCTGTAATACACTGAAGACTGTAACACAAAACTAAAGAAATTGAACTTCAATAACTACACTTTAGTGAAGTCAACAAATGCCAAAACATACACATGACATTTTTACTTAAAAATTAACATAACTATTAGAAAGATTATTTCCAAATCCCCATGATTCCTTCTTCTTTGTGGTGGAAATTCAAATGGTGTAAATATTAGCCTCTCCATATATTAGTAAAAATATTTCATTACAAGTGCAACTAACATTGCCCTTACTTCAAGTAGAATGATTTATTTAGAAAGAATAAACTGGGTGGGTTCAACTCAGTTTCACTCTTCATGTTCTTGGGATTCTGAGGGGGCTCACTCAGTTATATACTTCAGTACAAGCTTCATCAGAAATAAAAGCAATTCCTTTGACCTCCACCTGCCATTTCTCTTTCTTCCATCTATCTGGAATCTAGCAAAGAACAGGAATATTATTTTGTCCCATTAAGACCCAATGCCACTGAAGGAAACTGTTTTGAAAGGAAAAATTGCCGATAATCCTACCACCATTATCAGATGATTTTTATTATTCCCTTAATTTTCATCTGTAAGCACATACCCAATATTGTACTGTTCCCCCATAACAATATAGATGGGATATATTTACCTGTATTTAAGTTTTAAAATTAATGCCTTAAATGGCTATAAAATATGCTGAAGAGTTGAATTCAACATAGTGTACTAAACTGTTCCTCTTGTTAGTTCAAGTTTCCTTCTCTGTTTTAAAGGTTAACATTATAAAAACATCTTCAAAAGCATATAACTTAGTTCTACTCATAGGTCACATTTCTAGATGATGTAGGCTCTTCTGAAGTTTTATGAAGAAAATATGCAAAACACTTTTTTAAATGAGATAGCTTGTGTTTTTAGATATGTAATTTAGAGGTAATGCACACCAGTGATGACCCCCACTCCCAGAAAGAAAAAAAGCAGTATCATATCCCTTCTTAAAACAGTCTGATGTTTCAAGAAGTATTTTCATACCCTAGGATGAGTTAATCAAAAGAAATAATATCTAATGCAGTCTTAAAGTCGTATTCAAGATGCCTTTACCTGATTTTCCACATTTCCCTAACAAGAACCATGAGAGGTTTCTGGTCAACACAGTAGACTGAGGTAAGTCAGAAGACTACTCTTCTGCTCCAAAACCCATAGAAATCCTGGATAAACTGTCATAAAGGAAATGTTGCTAAACTTAAACTCAGGCAAAGAAAACACCCTGGCACTAAAAATGTAGCAGTAACTCAAAGTGAGAGCAGTAAACAGGAACAGAAGCCAAAACAGCTTAACAGCTAGAAACCAATGCACTTGAGGGGGTCATAAAGGGCTACACCTGTGAACCACAGACTACAAAAACACCGCCCATAACCTTACGTGAACGGAAATGAAACTAAAGCCATGTGTGGAAAAGATTCTCCTATGAGTAATTAGAGCACACAGAAGTGTATTCCAAGTTCATCTTACCCAGATGGTATAGGGACACTAGGCCAAAACTTTAATATAGAAAGTTGGCTTAGAACCAGTGAAAACTGATAAGCTAATAAACTGAAATGTAAAACCACCCTTAGGAATATTTAGTCATCTAGAACAAATGCAACTCTCAGAAAGCAAATTCTACTAAAGATGCCTTCACAAAGATAATAAATTGCATTAAGAAATAAGTTTCCAGGATGGACAATCAACAGATACAAGCAAAATTTGCACCAAAAGACCTGGAGATAATAAAACAACCTAAGAAAGAATTTTAAATAGCACTTTTCAATAAGAAAGGAAAAAAAAAGAATAGAAACCATTAGGCAAGAACCAAGCATTGTAAACATATATTCAAAAAAACACTGAATTTGGAAAACAACCAAACAGAAATTACATAATGAAAACAGTTACTGTAAATAAAACTCAAATGCAATGGATAAGTTGAACAATAGAATGAAAAGGGAATGAATGAATTAGAAGACAGATATGAGAAAATTACCAACAAAAAGGTACAGAGAAACAAAAAGATAAAAATGCAAGAGAGAGTTTAACATCTATTCAAGACAGACTATAAGACAAAGATAGATTATAGCAACCTAACAGACACTGCAGAAGAAAATCCCAGAAAAGGAGGAAATGCCAAAATTTAGAGAGAGATGCTGAGTATAATCTAAGGAAGTGTGATACACCCAATTCTGTTCTTTCTCTGGATTGTCCTAGCTATTAGGGGTCTTTTGTGTACCCATACAAATTTTAAAGTTATTTGTTCTAGTTCTGTTAAAAAAAAAATTCCCATTTGTATTTTGATAGGACTGCAGTGACTCCACAGACTGGCTTCAGTAATGGTCATCTTAACAATATTAATTCTACTAATCTGTGAATGCAATACATCTTTCACCCTCTTTGTGTTGTCTTGAATTTCTTTCATCAGTGTCTTCCAGTTTTCTGAGTACAGATCTTTTACCTCCTTAGATTTATTCCTCAGTATTTTATTATTTTGATGCAATTATAAATGGGATTCTTAAAAAAAAAAAAATAATAATAATAATAAATGGGATTCTTTCCTTAATTTCTATTTCTGATAGATTGCTTTTAGTGTACAGTGGTGGTTGGTGGTTTAGTTGCTAAGTCATGTCTGACTCTGGTGACCACATGAGCTCTGCCCACGAGCCTCCTCTATCCATGGGATTTCCCAGGCAAGGATACTGTTGTGGGTTGCCATTTCCTTCTCCAGGGAATGTTCTCGACCCAGGGATCAAACCTGGGTCTCCTGCATTGCAGGAAGTCTCTTGCATTGCAGGTGGATTCTTTTACCAACTGAGCCACCAGGGAAATGAATATTAATTTTGTATTCTGCAACTCTACTGAATTCACTGATGAGCTGTACTAGCTTTCTGGTGGCATCATTAGGATTTTCTATGTATAGTATCCTGACAGCAAACAATGACAGTTTTACTTCTTCCTTTCCAGTTAGACTCCTTTGTTTTTTTTTTTTCTTCTCTGATGCCACAGCTAGGACTTTCAATACTATGCTGAATTAAAGTGGTAAGAGTGAGCATCCTGATCTTAGATGAAAATGCTTGTTCCTGATATTAGATGAAATGTTTTTAGTTTTTCACCACCAAGTACTATGTTAGCTATGAGCTTATATGTGTGTGTTAGTCACTCAGTCGTGTCCGACTCTTTGCAACTCCATGGACTGTAGCCTGCCAGACTCCTCATCCATGGAAGTCTCCAAGCAAGAATGGTGGGGTGGGTTGCCATAGCTTTCTCCAGGGGATCTTCCTGACCTAGGGATTGAACCTGGGTCTCCTGTATTGCAGACAGTTTCTTTACCATTTGAGCTACCTGGGAAGCCCATGAGCTTATATATGGACTTCATTATTTTGGAATATATTCCCTCTACACAAACATTGTGGAGAAGGAAATGGCAACCCACTCCAGTATTCTTGACTGGAGAATCCCATGGACAAAGGAGCCTGGTGGGCTACAGTCCATGGGGTCGCAAAGAGTCGGACACGACTGAGCGACTAACACACACACACACACATTGAGGAGAGGAGAGTTTTTATCATAAATGGATGTTGAGTTTTGTGAAATGCTTTTTTTGCATTTGATCATATGGTCTACTCAGATGATCATATGATTTTTATGCTTCTTTTGTTAATGTGTGTATCACATTGATAGATTTCCAGATATTGAACCACCCTTGCACCCCAGGATAACTCTCACTTGATCACAGTGTATGATCCTTTTAATATATTACTGGATTCAGTTTGCTAATATTTTATTGAGGATTTTTACATTGATGTTCATCAATGACATTGGCCTATAATTTTCTTTCTTGCAATATCTTTGTATAGTTTTAGTATCAAGGTGATGCTGGCCTCATTCAATGAGTTCAGAAGTGTTCCTCACTCTGCAACTTTTTGGACTTCTTTTAGAAGGATAGGTATTAACTCTTCTCTAAATGTTTGGTAGAATTCTTATTATTCTTCTTGGTTAGATCCACAGATCATTATACTACAAAGCTATGGCAGGTGAAATAGTATGATACTGGAACAAAAGCAGACACATAGATCAATGGAGCAGAATGGTGAGCCCGGAAACAAACCTACACTTACATGGGTAACTGTGATAAAGCAGACAAAAATATACAGTGAAGAAAAGACAGTCTTTCAATAGTCATGCTAGGAAGATGGGCTGCTACATTTAAAAGAATAAAATAAGAACTATTTTCACACCATATACAAAAATAAACTCAAAATGGATTAAAGACCTAAATGTAAGACCACAAACCATAAAACCTGAGAAGAAAACATAGGTAGAATATTCTTTGACATAAATCACAGCAATATTTTTTGGATCTGTCTCCTAAGAAAATAAAATACATACATACATGCACAGGACCTAATTAAACTTGAAAGGGAAAAAACAAAGGAAAGGAAACCACTGACAAAATGAAAAGACATCTACTGAATGGAAGAAAATATTTGCAAATGATATGACTAACAAGGGTTTAATATTCAAAATATATGAACAGCTAATACCACTCAATACTGAAAAAAACAAAACAAATAATCTGGTTAAAAAATGGGAAGAAAACTTGAAAAGGCACTTACCCAAAGAAGAATACAGATGGCCAATGGGCACATGTAAAGCACAACACTGTTAATCATCAAAGAAATGTAAAGCAAAGCTATAATATGACCTCATACCTGTCAGAATGGCTATTATCAAAAAGACCACAAACAACAAATGTTGGCAAGAATGTGGAGAAAAGGGAACCCTCCTACACTGTTGGTGGGAATATAAAGTGGTGCAGCCACTGTGGAAAACAGTATGGCAGTTTCTCAAAAAATTGAAGATATAACTACCATATGACCCAGTAATTCCACTCTTGGATATATATCCAACAAAAATGAAAGCACTACTTTGAAAAAAATATATGCACCCCAATGTTCACAGCAGCATTT